CCGTACCCTTTTATGTAATGATGTTTACTTTGAATTTATATTAGTTCACACAAACACTCCATCCATGCTTTTGTTCCGGCCCTCCGGTCCAGTTTAAGGACCCATTGTGGCCCTCGAGTCAAAAAGTTTGCCCACCCCTGGGCTAGGAGCTTCGGTCGCCAGAGGGCGTGGCCAGCCTGAAAACGGCCATCAGCCCCCTCACCAGGCTGTCCAGGCACCCAAGTGGGACTCCCCCACCCTGAAGGGGCTGTGGGCAGCCTGAAAATGGCCCTCAGCCCCTCACCCAGACTGGCCAAACCCCCATTGGGTGAGGGTACCCACTGGGAGGCTTGACCAGCCTGCAAACAGCCCTCAGCCCCTCACCCAGGCTTGCCAGGCACCCCATCGGGGACCCCCACCCTGAAGGGGGTGTGGCCCTGAAAATGGCCCTCAGCCCCTCACCCAGCTGGCCAGGCACCCCAGCAGGACTCCCACCTTGAAGGGGGTGTAGCCAGCCTGAAAACAGCCCTTAGCACCTCACCCAGGCTGGCCAGGCACGACACCCTTAAGGGCAAACCAGCCAGACCCCACCCATGCACCAGGCCTCTATCCTATATAATAAAAGGGTAATATGCAAATTGACCCTAATAGCAGAACGACTGGGAATGACTAGTCACTATTACACACACTGACCACCAGGGGACAGATGCTCAATGCAGGAGCTTCCCCCTGGTGGTCAGTGCGCTCCCACAGCGGGAGCTCTGCTCAGCCACAAGCCAGGCTGATGGCTGCCAGCGATGGTGGTGGGAGCCTCTCCTACCTCCTCAGCAGCACTAAGGATGTCTGACTGCCGCTTCGGTCTGCTCCCCGCTGGCAAGTGGACATCCCCCGAGGACTCCCGGGCTGCCAGAGGGATGTCTGACTGCCAACTTAGGCCCGTCCCCTGGGGAGTGGGCCTAAGCCAGCAGGTGAATATCCTCCAAGGGGTCCCAGACTGCGAGAGGGCACAGGCTGGGCTGAGGGACACCCCCAAAGTGCACAAATTTTTGTGCACCAGGCCTCTAGTTTATAATAATGAAACAGTAAATTATCTAAGTATTTTTTTTACCTAAATATTTAACAAAGTGGAATTAATGGAATAAACTATGATTCACAATACAATAGAATTCTTTTCACCTGTTAAAATAATTTTTGAAGAATAAACTATTTAATGTCACAAAAACACTCATTTTCATTGGTAAGTGAAAAGAAGGTTACATGTATATATTTTACAATCAATTATTAGCTATCTAATCTTCTCAACCATTTTATGAAGTATATTATTCTCTTCATTTATCAGGTGAGTAAAATCAGGAGGCTAGATAACTTGCCTGAAGGTCATACAATATGTACAGTATGGAACATATGTATTATATATGTGTGCACATATGTTTATATATTAAAATACAGGGTAAGACCAAAGTATGAACAGTGACCATTTCTGGGAGTGGAATTTGGAGTGATTTTTATTTGCATTTTGTTTGCTTAGCTCTAAAAAAATCCTACAATTTAAAAAGACAGCACGAGTCCAGTGTTGAGCAGCAGAATCCAATCCTAGCTGTCAGTCTCCGGCAGGCTGCTTGGCCATTCAAAGCCAGCGACCTGGCCTGGCAGAGTATCCTCTCCCTCCATGGTGAGCAGGGGTGGGCATCACCTTACTCTAGCATTTTAATACCCTCATCACTTACATTTAACATTGTACTCACTTAATAAAACCTTTGGTTTTTCATCAGTGGCCACTTGCCAACTTCTTTTCCATTGGTCCGTGAAGGCCACGCCACTAGTACGGCTGCTTCTGCCCGAGTCACCTGCGTCCTCAGTTTTCTCCTGGGTCTCAGCCCACAGGGGAGACCCAGCCTTGGTTCTGACCTGATTCCTGCCCGCTCTCTCTCTTGTGCCTGGATATCGTCTATTTAAGGTCAAGCATTCCTTTTGCAGGAAAACAGCTGAAGCTGTGCTCCCATCCTGTTACCTTGGAGACTGACTCGTGTCCAGAACTGGAATTTGCTACTGGACTGGCTAACTCGCTAGCCCTGTGTTTTTCCATTTCTCACTTATTCCTTTCCCGTGATCTCAAAGCCTTCTCCATCTGAGCATTCAGTATGAGCATCAGGCTGTGGATTTTGCTAGCTTCTTGACAATAGTCCCTTTGGTAACTTAGTAAGATTGTTGAGGTAATTTCAATAGTAAAGAAAAATGTAGAGGTTCGATGGCTTATATCAATAAAAATGTCTTGGGACAGGTACCAGCTGATTACTCTAGATTTAGGTGTTAATTTCTAAATTTCATGTAAAATGTAGGTCTTATATTAGACTGTAAACAACCAAAGTGAATGGCTGACTTTTTTTGCCAATGGAACAGGTTATCACAGTAAAATGAAAAAAACAAACAAACACCAACACAAATGAGTAAATGCAGAGATCTATAAATATAGCAGGGTGGGTAATCCTCTATCAGTGAAATTTATTACTTACCTGAATTAAAAACACTTTGATGCTATAGTCTTCTAAATCAGTAGCTGTTATTCGTAAATTTTGGTGGTTCGCTCTTTGAATCTCCATTTGAGTCCAGAGTTTGCTATTGAGAATCAGCCTCAGGCTGCCTTGATTGCGCATAACTAAAACGGGAAGGTGAATACATCAGACTACAGAAGAGTTGATTTCTTACCCTTCCAGGGGAATGCCCCATTTGAAAGCAAAGTAAATCTTGTACTGATTTTTCAGATTGTATTTTCACTATTAAATTTGACTAGATTATAACTTGGTTTTCAAATTGGACTTTATTATGTTAAAGAATTTTTTTAATTTATTTTTTGGTTAAAATGCTGGAATTATATATTTTTACTATAATATTAAAAATGATTAAAATTTTAGAACTCCTTTGGGGAGCTACTGTTCTTAAGAATTTACCCAAAAACTGTTTAAGATAGAGAAAACTGAAATGGAATTAAAAAATAGAATGAGTTAAATAAATGATGGTACAGCTAGTCAAGGTATTATGAACCCATTAAGAAGACTGAAGAGGCCCAGCTGGCGTCGACCTATTGAACTAGGAGGTCACAGTTAGATTCACATGCCCGGGTTGCAGGCTCCCTCCCCAGTAGAGCATGCAGGAGGCAGCCAATCAATGATTCTCTCTCATCATTAATGTTTCTATCTCTCTTTTCCTCTCCTTCCTCTCTGAAATATATTCTTCCTCTCTGAAGAAAAGAAATTATTGATGTAGAAAAGTGATCTTGGTATATACTATGTAAACAAGAAGAAATCCAATTGCGAAGCAGTATAAACACCACGACACACACCCTTTTCAGTATATGTAGATGGAGGACAACGTCTAGAAGAATGTGTATTGTAAACAGAAGCTATCACAGGAAGATGGACCTTTCAGTGATTTCTTCCTGTTGACCCATATTTTCTGTCTTCTGTAATGAACTAGTATGTCCCGTATAATTTTTTTTAAAGGGTTGTTTTGTGTCTCTTTGGCAGGTGGTGGAAGGAGTAAAATTAAACCAAAGTAGAAAAACAACCAGTACCTGCCTTGGGAATAATACTTAGAAACCTGTTTGCCAATTACAGAACTGAAGACACTGTTTCTATTCTCTTAGTCTGAATTCTATTCCGTACCCATTTGTTGAGCTTGATATCTGAAACTCAACAAACATGCATACACTTAGATCTGACTTCTATTTGTGGTCTTCTCCTCCACAGCTCTCTCACTGGCTAGTATTAACCAGCCAACCAAACCTATCGCCCACCCAGGTCTCGGCGTGGGCTCACTTTAAGTCTGGGCCTCTGAATGAGGGCCACTGTGCCTTTCTGATGTCTTTCAGTGTGACTGACTCCAGGTTCCAACCAGCACTCTGCCTGCAGGATTCAATAACCACACACCTTTATTTCCTTGGAAACTGACCCTTCATCCCAACCCACACACCAGGCTATGAATGGCATGGTAAATTATAGGGCAGATATTCTTTTTTAGGAAAACTATTTTCACTTTTTAAATAATTTGTGTCATATTTCTTTAAATAATAATGGGTTGCTATTTAGGTATGTGGTGGGCTCCTTCATGGGTACTTTACATGCATTATTATCTCACTGAATTCTCACAATCATTAAGTGACGGACTATTATTCCATTTTCATTTATTGATTTTGAGAGAGAGAGCGAGAACAAGAAATATCAATTTGTTATTCCACTTACTAGTATTTATTCATGCATTGGTTGCTTCTTCTCTGTGTCCTAACCAAGGATCAAGCCTGCAACCTTGATGTATCGGGAGACCAGTCTTACCAACTGAGCTTCCTGGCCAGGGCCATTATCCCCATTTCAAAATGGTAACTGACTTGTCTAAGGTCACCAGGGAGTCAGTGGGGGAGCCAGAACTGGGACCAGTGTCCTCTGACATAAGGGCCTACTCTAACCAGGAAGCTCCTGTGGCACATTGGAAACAACATTGTTTTCAACAGTCTGATTTCTTGACATTATGACACATCTCCAGACAATGGTTTGCACCTATATTAGAAATTTCCCCCTGAGACATAGCGTCCTGCGTTACCAGCAGATCCCTTACTTAGTCTTGACTGGAAGGCCCCACAGTCACTGCTAGCTGTGTCATTCAGCCTCAGCGCTCCCCGGCCCCTTTCAGTCCAGGACGGGGTGGTTTTGTTGAACACAAAAAGCTTGCAGTTGATCTGAAGGGCAATATTTTAAAATGTCAAACATATAGAAAGTTTCTTCAAATCCCTCCCTATACTTTTATTTATTTGATCTTTTACCAGAATAACCTTTGTTAATGACTTACACATCAGTTTTAAAACATTATTTAAACTTAAATATTATTTAACTTTATGAATATACAAGTTTTGAATAGTTCAAACATTAAAAATCAAGAAGATGGGAGAAAAGGGAGGACTTATGTAATAATTTCAACAGTAAATATTTTTTAAAAAGCATGATGTACAAAGTGAGAAGTCCCTCCCCAAACCTAGTTTCCCATTTGTACTTTCTACCTCCTGTATCAGTAATCACTATTGCTAATATTAATTCTCCCATATATAAGTATATATATATGTATATGTATATATGACAATACATATATATGTTCCCCCTTTTTTTCCTGTAAATGGTAGAATAGCATACTCCTTTCTGTATCTTGCTTTTTCATTTAACAATACATAGTGTGGTAAAAGTAGGTTTACTGTTGTGAGTACATACATGAAATAGAGTTTATTCTTATATTATTACTTATTAATTATTTTATTATTTTCCATATGAACAACTGTAAACCTACTTTCACCCCACCCAGTATATCTATATAAACACCAACTTTTAAATTAAACTTAATGCTATTTGAGCTGTGTAATTTATTTGAAGGTAAAGCAATGATGGAAATATTTGTATGCTTTAAATATTTTAAAGAATAGAGCATGAGAGCTAAGATGTGACAGCAGAGTACCCTACTGGCATTTAAAATACCAGTGGCTCTCAAATGTCACTGTGTTTGTGAGTCACCTGGATGACTTATGAAAATACAGCATCAGGCCAGGGTCTCACCTGTCACAATTACTTCCATAGTCTAGGGTTAATCTGATCTGAAGTTACGCTTGGAACACACTTATATAGTAAACATGTTAGCAGATTGTGGGGGAGGAGAAGAGGAAAGGAGGAAGAGAGATGTAGACAGACAAAGGGAAACCCGTGCCTTGTCGAGAAATGATCAAGTTGTAGTAATTACACTTCATATGCCTGGGCTGATACCTAGACCACTCCACATTCAAACCGATAGTGATACTGTAGACGCATTTGTGAAAGTTTTGATTTCTATGACATTCAGAACTTACAAACTTTCAAAAGGGAAACAAAATTCTTTTACTCTCTAGAACTAAAATCAATTCATCTTATCAGCACTTTAAAACCTTCCGTGTAAGTTAAAATTTTAAATCCTATGATAATGGCACTGATTGTACAAGCAGGTTGAGCAGTGTACAGAGGTCAAAGTTATATTAAGAAAGTGTCCTGCCCTAGCTGGTTTGGCTCAGCGGATAGATCTTTGGCCTGCGGACTGAAGGGTCCCAGGTTCGTTTCCGGTCAAGGGCATGTACCTGGGTTGCGGGCACTTCCCCAGTGGGGGGCGCGCAAGAGGCAGCTGAATCGAGGTTTCTCTCTCATTGATGTTTCTAACTCTCTATCCTTCTCCCTCTCCCTTCCTCTCTGTAAAAAAATCAATAAAATATATTTTTTAAAAAGAAAAGAAAGTGTCCTGAGCTGTCTGCTTCCTAAGGGACTAATGTGAATGGCTGTAAACCCAACAACCCATTTTTCCTGCAAGTTATAAGCACAAATGTAAGAATTCAACAAAATACTGCTTTAATGTTTGGAAGTGTCCAACATTTTTATTTAAGCAACTCAGTTTTCTTGAAAAGAATACTTCTGCCTTTAAAAAAATAACACATGTCCCTGTTGATGATAACTTTATATCTGCAAGGGCTACCAGAAAGAGCAATATATGATATACAGACCTTTAACACATTATATTCCGCTTCCTCCCCTGTTATTACATCAATTTTCTTCAGCAAGCATTTTGGTGGTGATTTGGAAGAGAGAGCAGCAGCTGATTCAATCAGGGATATATTTTTAATAGCGTCTGTTCCTAAGAGAAAATAGGGGGAAACACATAAAAGGCCCCATATTTTTCTAGTGTGAACATCCTCTGTTGCTCCTATTAAATACTAGTACATCTCTTCCATTTTTTTATAACAATGAGTGTTTCCAAAAAACCCACGTTCTTCAGGTTAAGTAAATCTCTTTAATGACTTGCCATGTATTTAGTCAAAAATTTTAAAAAGGGTCTATGTCATGTAACTATATGTATATGCTTTATTCTTTACTAACAAATTTGAAAATACTGGACTATTGCTTTTGTATTTTGTAGATGTTAAACAAATGACATGGGAAAACAGGAAATAAACTAGTCAAACCAAATGTTTTACAAGTGAAACAATTCTTACTTGAGCTTGGAGAGTTGATAGGAAATTTTAGAGTGTATTTGAATGGCTTTTCCTTGGCATAGGAGTCATTTTCAAGTTGAGGCTGGGTGAGTTTTTGCATACCCTAGGTGGGGGGAAAGATGCGTTACTTAATTTTACCCTCTTATATTCGCAGTAAGCCAAAAGATATCTTTGTTCTCCTGTTTTAAACAAAACCAACTGCTGTGTTTTGGTTGGGCTCCCTCTGTGCTGAACAGGAAGTTGCTCCCTCTCCTTGCAGGACCTTGGTCCTGGTCCCCAGGAAGCAGAGCCCAGTGAGCACCAGCCTACTTGGGTGGGATCTGGTTCCAGGGATGATGTGAGAAGTTGTAGAGGCCCCAAAGGAGGTGACAGCTGTTCCATGGGACCGCCAGACTAACCTGATACCTACGAGGAGGTGCAACTATTATCTGTTTCAAGGTATTTCAGTATGCCCAGCAACTCACTGTTCTATCCACAGCATTAAAACATCATCATAATAATGGCCCTGTCTGGGTGGCTCAGTCGTTCAACTCCTAGTCAGGGCACATACTTAGGCTGCAGGTACAATCTCCTGTAGGGGCACGTATGGGAGGCAAATGATCAATGTTTCTCACATTGATGTGCCTCCCCTCCCTGCTCTACTCCTTCCTCTCTAAAATCAATGAACATATCCTGTGGTGAGGATTAAATACTACTACTACTACTACTAATAATAATAATAATAAAAATTATCCAGAGAACCCACTGAGCTGTCTCGGAGATCATCTTCATAGAAACAATCTTTTTTTAAAAAATGTATTTCTTTATTGATTTCAGAGAGGAAGGGAGAAGGAAAGAGAGATAGAAACATCAATGATGAGAGAGAATCATTGATTGGCTGCCTCCTGCACACCCCCCCACTGGGGATCAAGCCAACACCCCAGGCATGTGCCCTCGGCCAGAATCGAACCTGGGACCCTTCAGTCGGCAGGCTGACACTCTATCCACTGAGCAAAGCCAGCCAGGGCCATAGAAAGAATCTTAATTTTCCTCCCATCAGCTTTTGCCAACAATGGGTCTTTGTACATGTGTTATAATCAAGGCCTGTGTGAAAAGGACTGAGTAGTTCCCTACCATTTATGATCCTGTATAGCCCCCTGCAGAACAGGGAAAACTGAAATGACACTTCCCTTATAAACTATTCAAGGTTTGCTCACAATATTTAACTGGACATCAAGAATAGTCTGTTAAAATCAATAGACACGAGTATATTTATTTCGAAGGGACAAAAACAAACAAACAAACAAAAAACTTAAGGCACAGAAAGCTTAATGGCTAACTCTAGGAGCACATGGTCAGCTAACCAGTCCAAAGGATATCCGGGCCCCCAAGTCACTAGGCCACAGGATTACAGGATTAACTGAAGACAAATACAAGTTTGCTCTATTGTTCCTATCTGTAGGATGCTATCAATTTAAAGAGAGAGGAAGCGCAGATTCTTTTGTAAACCAAATGGGAAGTGCCCAATAGGAAAGCACTCAAATGCCTCTTCCAAGTACATCACAATCCTGATTAGGTCCTTTGTACAGGTATCTCTCTGTCTCATGCAGTTTTCAAGCCTGGCTGTATATTAGAATCGCCTGACACCTGGCCTCAACCAAAAGATTCTGAAATGGTTGGTTTAGGGAGATGCCCAGGCACAAAAATACTGTGAAGGCTCACCAGATAGCTAGTAGGCAGGCAAACTGAAGACCGACACCAATGCTTTATGTATCATAAGAACACAATACCTTTGTTACATTGAGTTGAATGCTAATAAAATACCTTATTTTTGTCGGTGACATCTCACAGAAGCTAATCTGGTGTCCAATTTAGGGCTAAATGTTATGGAGTAAATATCCCTAAATATATTGCCTGGAATTTCATTCTGGAAGTTGGTCCATTCTGGTTCCGATGCAAAGGTGTGCGTCACCAGCTCTGGGATCGCAGGTGTTGACCTTCGTTTTGGGAGGGACCAAAGAACGCCTCTAAACTAGAAAGCTATGCCAACTGCTCTTGGGATTGGGGTTTAGCCTGAGGCAGGTATGGAATAAACGAGATCGAAAGTGACTTATTGGTGGAAGCCCTAAAAATCTTGGAATAAACTGGCCTCATGAGTTGGTCCTTCTATTAATCTGAGCCCTTTCATGGGGTTTTAAATCTCGACAGCCTCCTTGGGTCCTCCCTGTAACGAGCAGCCCACAAGGCAAGCTAGCCACCGAGGCCTACCTTAGCCAAGATTCTGGTCCGGGTCAAAGCTGGGAAGAGCATGAAGATGTGATGGACTAGATTACAGCACAGGAACACCTGCTCCATAGCGTTCACGTTGCTGTATAATTCCCCCACACCCCACCCCCCTCCCTCCTAGATGATGCTGTCTTAAAGACATCCCCTAAGGAGGGCAGAGCAGCAACTGCCTCATGCAGGATTCTCAATAGTGAATAAAGAGGGCAGTAATGATAGTTCTGGGTCTCCACTTGGCAAGTATTTTCCCCTTAAAGCTAGACGCAAGTAAGTTAGAGTAACACTTTTCAAAGTAAGACCTTGAAGGGAAAGGTTGTGGTTAATGAGAAAAAACTGGCAAACAATTTTAAATACATCTTATTACCAAAAAATGCTATTGAAAAACGGTATTAAGATGCCATTACCAGTTGAGCTTATTTAACTATTGCAGGTGATTCTGGGATTTCCTTGGATACCTTTGGGTTAACGCAAGTCAAGAACTATTTAATATTTCTCATCAGTAATACTGTTATAATTATACTATTCTCTTCTTCTGTGGGTTCTTGTCTATTATTCTAACAACCAAAACTAGCTTCCCAGGGGACTCTTCCCAGTTAAAGAAAGAAAACGAGCCTTTGAACCCAGGAGTTAAAGAGTGTGCTCCAATGTAACACTGTTTTAATTAATTTGTCTTCAGGAATTTGAAGTGACAGCTCTCTACATAATAAGAGAAACATTTGCCAAAATCTTACCAAAACTCTTTCTACCATGTTTTCTCCAAAAACAAAGTCAGAACTGCAGCTTTTAAAAGAATACTTATCTTCATTTGGTTGACATCTAAAAAATAGAAAGAAGCATTTGCTATTTTATTTATGTGTGTGGGGGGGTGTTTAAAGCTTCTTTTTACTATAACTATTGCTTTTTCCTCCTTCCATCAACGATTGACTTATTTTTTACATTTTTAACTAAATTTTTTTTCAGTTATAGTTTACATTTAATATTATTTTGTACTAGTTTCAGGTGTACAGCATAGTAATTAGACAATAATATACTTTACAAAGTATTCCTCCTGATAGCTCCAGTACCCACCTGGCACCATACATAGTTATTACAATATTATTGACTGTATTCCCTATGCTGTACTTTACATGCCCATGACTGATTTGTAACTACCAATCTGTGCTTCTCAATCCCTTCACCGTTTTCACCCATCCCCCAACTCCCCTCCCCTCTGGCAGCCATTGATCTGTTCTCTGTACCTATGAATCTGTTTCTGTTTTGTTTATTCATTTATATTGTTCTTTAGATTCCACACATAGGTGAAATCATATGGTATTTGTCTTTTTCTGACTGCCTCATTTCATTTAGCATAATACCCTTTAGGTTCATCCAGGCTTCACAAATGGTAAGATTTCATTCTTTTTTATGGCCTAGTAATATTCCAATATTAATGATATTACAATATTAGAGACATTTTGAAAATCATTTTAAACTGTGTTCTCCATAAAATCTTCTTTCAAACAGAAATATTGACAATTTATCTCTATGATGTCAGAAAATTATTTTCCGTAAATGGTTATAACGATACAAGAAAGCAACAATGAAGGAACAGCACTCACCCTACTGATGCAGCACCCAAAAGAATCTGGTTGGTAGACAGCTGGATTGAAATTCCAGCACTTGGCAAATTTTCACTTAGCAAAGAGGAGTTCTTCTCGGAAATCTGAACGAAAATAAATCCATCAAAAAGTTCATTTAAACTGCTTCCTATGGTGGCATCAGACAAGGAAATAATAGTTATAGTTAAATGTATTGAAAATTTGCTGTATTCAAGTATTTCCCTGAGCATTATATGTACACTATCTCATTTTCTGTTCACAACTCCATACACTTTGTACACCTATTATTTATTATCCACATTTCCCAGGTGTGTGAACTAACCTAACGCGTTCAAATAACTTGGCTAGGCCTGGACAACCAGGAGTGGGGCTGATGATTGAGCCTGGGTCTGTCTGACACCAGAGACTATACACTTGGTCCTAATATTTCAGAAATCCCACTCCTTTTGTTCCTTTTTCAGCTAAGTGGAGTTAATTCTCATTTCTAGGTTAGTAAATCTATCTTTCAGGTTTATTTACTCCCTGGAAGCAACTAAGAGCTTCACCATCACCACCATCCAATCAGTGTGGGAGGAAACTCCATCTCTTCACCTAGGAACATTGGACTGGTAACTTAATCAATAGAAATGTGCATATGTACATAAGTGTTAATGTATAAATGAAGGAGTGGGCACTTTTAGAACTGGAAGGAACCCTAGAAAGATCAGATCTAGTATCTCCAATGTTTTGTGGACACCTTCCTTCCCCTATCAGAGATGTAGTAGGGAGTTCATGTCTTTAAAGGCAGGTGGGCCTGGCCAGCATGGCTCAATAGTTGAGCTTTGACTTATGAACCAGGAGGTCATGGTTCAAGTTCTGGTCGGGGCACATGCCCGAATTGCAGGCTCAATCCCCAGTGTGAGGCGTGTAGTTCATAGCTGATCAATGATTCTCTCTCATCAGTGATGTTTCTATCTCTCCCTTCCTCTCGGAAATCAATCTATAATAATAAAAGCATAATATGCTAATTAGACCAGATGTCCTTCCAGATGACCTTCCGGACAAAGCCAGGCTGAGAGGGAAGCCCAGGTCCTGGGTGCCAGTGGGAAGCTGGTGCTGGCAGCCGGGGGAAGGAAGGCCTACTCTTTTTTTTTTTTATTATTGCTTGAATTTCGTGCATTAGCCCTAACCGGTTTGGCTCAGTGGATAGAGCATCAGCCTGCGGACTGAAGGGTCCCAGGTTCGATTCTGGCCAAGGGAATGTATCTTGGTTGAGGTCACATCCCCAGTAGGGGGTGTACAAGAGGCAGCTGACCTGTTTCTAACTCTCTATCCTTCTCCCTTCCTCTCTGTAAAAAAAATCAATAAAATATATTTTTTAAAAAAAGAATGAAGCCCAATCTTAAAAAAAAAAAAAATCCCCAGTGTGAGGCGTGCAGGAGGCAGCCAATCAACAATTCTCTCACATCATTGATGTTTCTATCTCTCTCTCCCTCTCCCTTCCTCTTTGAAATAAATAAAAATAAAAAAATAAAAAATATATATTTCCATTAAACAAATAAATGAATAAAATAAAGACAGATGGGATCTGTTTCTACTTTAATCTTATATCAACCAATAGAAATAATTTTGAGTAGTTCCCTATTATAATATAATTTGAGAACTGAGAAATATATATCAAGAGAATATGCATCATTGGTTAGCAACAATCAAAATATATGTTCACGACTCAGTCACACAGAGGATTCATCACTCAGCCAAAATCACAGATTTTACTCTTACCATTGTTTAAAATAGTTTTTATTAGGCATATATGGTTTAAATCAGCCATGGGCAAACTATGGCCCGCGGCCCAGATCCGGCCCATTTGAAATGAATAAAACTAAATTAAAAAAAGACCGTACCCTTTTATGTAATGATGTTGACTTTGAATTTATATTAGTTCACACAAACACTCCATCCATGCTTTTGTTCCGGCCCTCCGGTCCAGTTTAAGAACCCATTGTGGCCCTCGAGTCAAAAAGTTTGCCCACCCCTGGTTTAAATTATACACAATAAGTGACCACTGATTAATGACAGGATGTATAAAAATTTTTCTGATTTTGATATACAAGTTAATAAGGAACATGAAAATAATGGTTCTAGAAAATTCACCTAGAAATAGTTTTCACTAGATCTATAAGTTACATATATTTTGTCAGAATTCTTAATAGCATTTAGTTAGTCTTTAGATGTTAAAAGATCATCATTAAATAGAAAATGATGGGCATATCCAATTAGGCTTTTCATTAATGAAGAGTAAGTTCGATTCATAACCTTCATGAGTTGTTCAAGTAGAAATGTTTACAAACAATAGCCTGAAAATTTCCCTTATGCTTAATCATTTAGGAAGAAAATGCAAGAAATATATATTTTATTATTTAAATAGGCAATTAAGATTTTAAAAAACATGCCAAAGAAGAAATATTGATGTATTTTTGATATCATAACATGTAATAAAAATTTTAATCTATAATTTATGGGAATGTTGTTACAAAATCAAATGAAATATAATAAAATTTTAAAATTAGTAACATATTTTTTCTTAGAAACTTTTCTAAAAATATATTTTATTGATTTTTTCCAGAGAGGAAGGGAGAAGGATAGAGAGTTAGAAACATCGATGAGAGAAACATCAATCAGCTGCCTCCTGCACACCCTCTACTAGGGATGTGCCCGCAACCAAAGGTACATGCCCCTGACCAGAATAGAACCTGGGACTCTTCAGTCCACAGGCCGACGCTCTATCCACTGAGCCAAACCGGTCAGGACTTCTTATAAACTTTTAAAAAATTAACATGCATCACTTTGTAAATAAATAAAAGCTTTTAAATAATATGTGATGATTATTAGAAATGAAAACTTTTAATAATATACTGATTTAAAATTTAAAACATGTTACTTAAAAATCACATCATAAACCATGCATAAATAATAAAGGGTTTTTTTAAATTCACAATGGGTCTCATGAACTCATTATTTTACCAAAAAAAAAAATTAGAAATATAAAAATGTTGGCAAATGTTGACTAAGTTCAACTCCCTCACTTCACTAATAGAAAGGGAAGGTTGGGTGCTTTTTCCAAGAATGCAAACGTAGATAGTAGCAGAGGTAGGTTTACTACCAACTTGATTTCTTTTCATTGAATTGATGAAATCACTGGAATTTTTAACACTCCAGGTGTTGCTATCCTTATGTCCAGTAAAGAAAAACAAAACAAAATGAGGTGGACCAACCCTCAATAGTTTGGCTGGAAATAAATGACTGATGGAATTAACTCTTAAATTCCATCTTGTGTCTCATTCCTCTCAAGTGCCTGCTTCTGAAGGAAACAGCTAGAACAATGCAAGAGACTGTCCCAAACCCATATCTGCATGGCCTGAGCAAAATGAGTATGTCCTTTAAAAGGCCCATGAAGCCTGATTCAGCCACCCACAACAGGCCTTAGCCCACAAGCCCACTTCCTAGGAAAATAACGTATCACAATGGAAGAGAGAATTCTTGTCATCTCCAGAGGCTTCCCAACGCCCCCCTTCCCCTCCCCCCCAGCTACACTGTGCAGGTAGTTCCCTGCTCCTGTTACCCATGAAAAGGGGTCTGAGTGGGTCCCTGGTGTGACCTAAACCAGCAAAGCCACGCTAGGATGTCAAGCAGTTGGGGAAGCAGAAATCCCTGTCCTACGTTTGACTTCCGATCCCAGCCCCTGGCACCTCATTGCTTTCCCTATTCTCACATGAGATCAGGGCACGGGAACAAGACCACAAGGTTTTCCGTCCTGTAGGACTCAGTTCTGCAGCTTCGGAGAGATCACAACACTTGGTCCTCGGAACAGCTCTCCAAGGTAAGAGGGCATGCGGAATGAGGTCACTGAGGGCTCTTTGCTACCTAGGCCAGGTGTTCTCCAGCTCTGCAGCTGATTCTGCAACAACATAAAGCCTAGACCACCCCTAATGACTCCTAATGCTCATGACTGGTGTGGGGCCCACAGCCACCTACTAACGGACGGATGAGGGACTGCGGTCAGTCCTACCACGGCAGAGTTTTCTTACCTTATTTTTTGTTTTTTCTTTAGTCTTGCAGTGTTCCAATGCATGGTGTCTTACTTTTTCACACCTTTGAGCTCGAGGTGGCTGCAAAATAGCAGGTCTTAGGACATGTTCAGAATGTTTCAAAGGACCTTAATGGAACAGAATGAAAGAGTCAACATATCTTAAGTGAATGAAATACTTCTTCCTCTATATTTTTTGACTAATTTAATGATTATGATTAACTAATCAAAGTCAAAATAGCCAGCGAATTGCTTAGTACTTACTTCCGGCCAAGATTTTACCCACTAAGTATTTACTTTGGCCATGGGACCGGGCTTATCAAATACACTCTCTCACGCTTTGTCACTCAGCCTTACCTCCATCCCCCCAACACACACACACACACACACACACACACACACACACACACACACACGCAGATTAAAATGTGGATGGTAAATGTAATTTCTGAGGTTTTCGTAATAGAGAAACTACATACTTTGTTCTGCACTGTTCATGTCAACACTCCTTTGCACAAGAGTTGATGTCATAAAAACATTGTTTTTCTTCACTGTAAGAAAAAAAAATATTTAGAAAAAATTAAGTCTAGGAGAGTGGGTCTGTTTCTGTGCGATTTGGGTTCTAACAGCCTCGCATGGAACTCACCAGTAGATGGCAGTGTCCGCACTAACAGGGTAGGAGGCAGTGCATGGGAGAGCGCTGACTGCTAGAAACGCGTGGTGGCAGGGTGAGTTGTGCTACATAGTTGTTTCCTCTCATAAATGTAAGTGACAATTAGGTCGCTAACAGAATAGGCCATCTTAAGAATCATGAAATGGAATACTGAGGCAAATTCTACAGATTATGAAATCTAAATTGATAATGAACTCTTACAGAATGTTAAAAAATTGTTAGCAAATTCTGTCCCTCTCCCTACTCTAATAATACCTGGAGACAGAAGTGAAATCATTGTGATACGTTATTTTCCTAGGAAGTGTGCTTGTGGGCTAAGACTGTGGTGGTGGCTACAAGTACAGAATTACTAGACATTTCAAAGTGATCACCTCCTGGTTGCAGAAACAGGAGCCTTGGAGCATTTGAGTAATGGAGATATGAAAAGAATAAGAATTGCTTTTTCAAAGTATTATAACCTGCTCAAATTGGGGGTAGAATTGCTCCTGTAATTCAAAATTCAATTAAGTGGTATTTATTATCTTCATTCTTGAAAAGCAACAATGAACTGACCATATAAAATTATGCAATTTTTCTCCGTTGCAATACCACCAATAATTCTGTACTACATACAAAGGAATGGTGCTTACTGATATGAAGGTTTCTTTATTCAGTCTTTCCTTTTTGTGTAGCTGACTCTTTTGGTCTGATTAAAATAAGAAGAATTTAGCGGTTATCTTGATAACTCAAAGCCATCCCTCTGAGATTAGGACCCCATTCCTCTTACTGTCTGTAACGTGTCAGTGAGGCTTAGAGGGGCCTGCTGAGTTAGAAGCATCTCTTCTGTATCTGGAAGGTGTCTGACATACTGCTCTTAGTCATGCTTGGAATTCTTATTAAGAATATAAATGCATTAATTTGAATATGCAGTGGTTCCTAGGATCAGTGAAAAGAAAGTGAATAGTGTGTGCTTGTTTTTTTATTTCTAGTGGCAAGCTTCACTTGGAAAAGGCAGTTGGTTGTTCAGTAGAAACAAAAACACCCAAGAATATAAATCATAATTTTAAAGTAGAAAATGTTCCAACCATTTCAAATCTTTAATTAAAATAAAATAGTTTTTATTAAAATAAAAGTTTTTATAATGCTTAGCAAAGCATTATAAATTTCAAATAAAAAGGAAGTAATATTTTAATTAATGAAAAGTACAAGAGGGTTAATATTCTAAACTTTAAAACATAAATCTAAAGCATAAACTTTAGAATAAGAATCTAAAGCATAGTTTTATATTTTGTATATACAACTATATGTATTATAAACCATATACATGGAAAATAATAAGTAAAATAAAGCAAGTTCTTTTATAGGGCTGCCGTATACAGTATATTGCTATCATAAACATGAAATCCTAAAAAAAATCAAGTTCAAACTTTCTATCAAAAATAAACATATATATTGTCTGGCTTTATAAAGTTCTTAAGGTTTTCTTCCGTTCATACTTCGTTAAGACCTCTACTTTGTTTGCCACTAAAATGTCAGTATTTTATAGCAGCTGAGAAAGAAAGATCATCATTAAGGAGAATGGATTTGCAAAGGTCAGCGTGACAGGCTCAAGGTTCTAGAAACTCTTTGAGGCTCACCGTGTTTAAGATACTCTATCAGGCATGAGGATGATCTCAAGGAACTTACAGTGGAGACAGACATAGCATAAACAGCTGTATTACAAGGCAGAGAGCAATGCAATCAACTCTACAAGGAATCACCGAGTGCGTTGAGTGTAGAAGAGAAGCAAACGAAGTCACTGATATTCAGAACACAGCACTAAATGATGACGTTCTTAGAACAAAGTGTCTTTTTAAAAGGTGGACATCTTTTATTTAAGTAGGTGGTTGCTTACGAGAAAATGACAGTCTTCCCTACAAAAAATAATACATACTTAAGGCAGAAACTTTGTAAACATCACAAAATACAAAGAGGGAGCTAAAAAACCTAACCACTCATTGCTGGGAGCCGGTCCATCCTTGCTGTTTCAAGGGACCTGGCATATATGGCATACTGTTCTTAATATGTTTGCTCACCTTCTTGGCACTATGTGTTTTTACCAAGGTCACCTCTCCGAGAAAGGTTGGTTTCTATTATAGTCTCTTTCAGAAATCCTAAATGAGGTTAGAATCATTATGCCATTATTGCTGGATTCAACCTAAGAGCTGCTCTCTAATACAAAAAATGACACAAGAAAGGATGAGACATGATTGATTTCTAAGATTATCCTCAAGACACGTACCACCCTTCTGCAATATGTGACGAAAGTGGTGCAGGGGACAGCACATCCAAGCTATTCAACTGGAAAGGGCGAAGAGGATTTTTTTGCCCCTCCCCACCTTAACTTGCTCCTGCACCTTCTTCGCCGACTCCGTCCACACCTTTGGGGACCCCTGGACCTGCTGGGGTGGACCCCAGCAACTCATAATCCCATTACCTGAAATAACCATTTCTAACATTGTGGCTTCCGTCCTTTCAGTCTTTTTTCAATGTTGGCCAATTGAATGCACTCACCGTATGGTTATATGAAAACAATCTGCTATTTTCATATAACCATATATTATAAGCACTATCCAGTGGGTAGACTTTTAAAAATTATCCATTTGTAAAGTTTCTTAGACATTTTATACTCAGACTAAACGTAACAGAGAAACACTCACAGTCTATCTACACTATACCTACCTCCTTGGGACTGAGAAGCTGTAGTTTGCAAAGAAAAAGATGAAGACCGTATGCGCTTTCTTGAAAAACCATTACATTCTGCAAGAAATTCAATGTGAAGGGTAAAATTGCTTGCAATAACAAATTATCCTCAACTGATGATATGGGGGACAAATAGAATTTCCTTTTGTCTATACAAATTATCATTGGGTAACACATTAACTTCTGAAGCACAATTTTAAATATTGGGGTTAATAGCTAGGTGATTATGAACTGATAGTCATATCATCAGTTGTAAAACTATCAGACCAAGTGGTTTCAGCAAGAAATTGCATATGAATTCTGAGATTGTATGGAGAATGTTTGGGTACGTGGAAACAAAGGCAGTAGAGAAGCATGGGATTGTAGAGTTGCGAACGTCACTGATTTCAGGGCCCCTCACGTCATCTCTCAAAACAACAGCCAGTCTACTTTCTTGTTTGTTTCTTTGTTTTTAATTTTATTTTAATTTGAAAATATTTTCAAATTTACAGAAAAGTTGTAAAAATAGTACAAAGGATTCTCATGTGCCCTTCAATCAGATTCAGCAGCTGTAAACATTTTGCCTCATTTGATTTATCATTCTCGATTTACATACATATTTTGCTGAATCACTTCAGATTAAACTGTGTGTTTTATGTCCCTTGCACCTAAATATTTCAATGTTCATTACCTTAGAATAAGAAAATCTCTCATATTATCCCAGTATGATGATCAACTGCAAGAAATTTAACATAACATACAATATTCTGAACTAACACAGCAACCATAATTTTGTCCATTGACTAATAATGTCCTTTGTAACATTTTCCACCCAGTGCAGGATTCAGCCCAGAATCATAGATAGCATTTGATTGTCACAGGTCTTCTGTCTCCTTTAATCTGGATTTCCTCCTCAGGCTTTCTTTCTTTTAAAGAATTTATTTCTCATGTTTTAATAAGATATTTTTTTTTCATTTTGAGTTTTTAATGCAGTTTGAACTACATTTTCCTGTTGAAATCTTTTTAAATTAAATTTATTGGGATAGCATCACTTAATAACATGATATAAAGTTCCAGTGTGCCATTTTATAATATGACATCTATATACCCTATTCTGTGTGAGCACATAACACTTTCATGTTTAAACACAAGAAAAACCATCAAGTTTTACGTAGTCTGTGCCACATGCCAAAATGCTTGTGCCTGCTTACTAGTATGTTCTTTGTCTAAAGGTTGATTTTGAAATACAAGATTTAAATCGTTACCTGGTTCCGCTGCTTCGTGCAGGGTTTCTTCCGCAGGCCTCTGGAAGGAAAGGAAGCTGCCAGTGAGAGTTTTCACACCAGACTTCTCCCCTGTCGCTTTCTAAGAGAATTCTCCACGGCCAGGTCTCTTGAGCGAGGCCAGGACACAGCTGCTCACCGTTAGTCATGAGCATGCATTCAAGAGCGAGCCAAGTCCGGCAGAGCGGGTCCACTTTGCAGTGACTGCAGAACCCCTGGGAGCTTCTGAGACTCCGACTCAGGATTCTGAGTGGCTAACCTGGGCTGGGGCCCGTGAATCTGGTTTTTCAACAAGGGCTTGGGGGGTTAAGATTTCTGTAGTTAACTTTGGGGGAAGTGATGTACAGTGGGGCCTTGACTTACGAGTGTCCCGACTAACGAGTTTTGCAAGATACGAGCCATCTCTCAGCCGATTTTTTGCTTTGACTTGCGAGCTAAAATTCGGGTTATGAGCCAGCTTCAGATACCCCACCGCTGGTTGGCGCAGCGAACGTCACAGTGAACGCCACAACATCAGCCCAGCATCACGTGTCTCACTCGTTCACTTTAAGATTTGACATACGAGTAATTTGAGTTACAAGCTCTGTCACAGAAAGAATTAAACTCGTAAGTCAAGGCACCACTGTACATTACCTGCGTAAGAATGAATAACAAGGAAATACTAACTGAGATAAAGTGAGAATACTGTTTGTCTTTTGAAGCAAGTCTGATGCTGATAAAAAAGATGGGTCCTTCAGATCCCTTTTTAAATCAAATATCGCAGTGTACAACTTATTTAATACTCCATGTCAGGCTGGATTGGAGCAGCCTTAGCCCTTCGGATCTCTTTCAGTCCCTCCCACCCAAGTCACTCCAAAAATGTATAATTTAGTGGAGATTCAAGACAAGGTCACTGACTTCCCATTGCAGCTGAATTGCTGTTGGTAAATCCCTACTATATAAATATTCTGGAGGCACTACTCTGTAAGTGAAGAATAAGAAAATAAACTTACTCAGCAGGGATATATCATTTAGTGTAGCTAGCTTCTTTTAATATAATTTTCTTTGTCAAAGTAAAAATCAAACAAAAAAGTCACTTCATCTTACCTTAAAAGATTGCTCTCTCTTTTCAAAAACAAATATTGGTTGAGCAATGACAGATTTTTCTGTAAAACAAAAAGAACAGAAAAGAAATAAAACCATATTTTGACATTTCTAATGCCCAACTAAAAATATTTGAAGATTTTGTTTATTTATTTGTATTTTCTTTCTGCCTTTGGGTAAAATCCAAACTGTTTTACATGGATGCTATAAATGGAATATTTATAAATAATTTTAATAGTTAATTACAGAAATAAATACTTGGGGGAAAGTGACAGTAAATATATTTCCACAAATAGAGTGATCATCCCATTAAAAGAACATGTGTTAAGGGTTTAAGAAAAACAAAATATAATTCCCCGCCTTCAGAATCCCACCAAGACAGAGTGATTAACACCTATACTTTTAGAATAAAAAGTTTCAAGGGGTGAAAAACCTCATTTGATAATAGAACTCCTCCTTGGATCAGATCTGAAGGTATAGATGTACTGCATTCCAGCTTTAAAAATGATCTAGAAATAATCCATATGTCCTTGACTAGAGTAGTCATATACTAAGAAATGCTTTCAATATTTAGACTAAGAATCAGTGTTAGTGTTATAAAGTAGCTAAAGTTTGTCATCAGCCGTACCAACCTTACCAATCTTTTATACTTTCCTATCTTAGCTAGGACAAAGGGAGAAACTCACTGACTCTAGGGTACAAATGGGTGGTCACTGCTTTAAATATCAGCACTCCAGCATTCTCAGGGAAAGTTACATGGTTCTTAAGAGCTTGGGCTCTGGAGTTAGGAGGGCATGTGTTCAAATACAAGTTTCACTACTAATTGGCTTTAGGAAACTGAATATGTCTGTACCCGTTTTCTCATCTGAAAAAAGAAAGATTATTACAGTACTTACCTCATAGTTTATGTGAAGATTAAATGGATTTTTAGATCTAATTATTAGATTTTAATAAAACAAACAAAAAAGAATAGTAAACATGTGGCATGCCACCAACCCCCATTTGGAAACTCATAACCAACATGGCTAACTGGTGACACACCTTCTTGAGGAGCCCAAATATGAGCTCAGAACTTTGCTCCCGATAGGTTTCCAGAAGCCATTACCCACACTCTGTGCTGCCATACAGGCCGAGGTCAGCTGGCACCCCTAGGCTGCATAAATCACCTCTAGCCGGGGCGTTTCAAGGAACTACCACACCTTTCAGATGCCAGAAAGGGTTCTCCAGCTCCCCACAATGTTCTCCATGAGAGAGTGTCACAAACTCTGCCAGATGACCCTTGGCTAAGCTCCTGGGCCACGTGAAGCTGGATGCCTTCTTTCAGCCCAATGACGGACACTACTCACTTCTTATGCAAGTGCTACTGCCCGGGCCGCCCTGGGAGCCAAGTGAGCCCCAGCACAAAACATGCAATAGCACACCGGCAATCCCATCCACGTTAGACTATAGCTCAAGCCTTTGCTCTTTCTCCAACAAGCTCCTTTCCAGCAGTTACTTTAGATGTAAGAAAGGAGCTCCCTAGTGGCTTTGAAAGGAAACTGTCTTTGTGGATGTGCAGGGGAATACTTATGAATCCCAGCAATGAATGGGTCTTTTCTCAACTGGACTTGGATAGTCATTCTTAAAATAGCATGACTTGGCCTCAGCCAAGACAAACTACATCACTTTCCTTCTATCAAAACATTCAGCTAAACACGGGCAAAAGCGATCTTTAATGGCAGCATTAAGGAGGAAATCCCACAGGGTTACTCGCAGCCTGGAAGGCATATGGTAAAGTAAGAAGGCCCCTTTTATTAGTTAATTCAACAAATATTTATTGCACATCTTTTGTGTGCCAGCCACTGTGTTAGGACCCAGGCCCACATTGTCTGATTGAAGGTACATTAGCCTCAGGCAGCCGCCTGCTCAGCCTGACATGGCCCAGCACATTAGTTAGAAAGCAGATAATCTCCTACCCTCCACTTCCATCTAAACTTTCTCCGTCTCTCCCACGCATTTATCTGGGCTCCAAGACAAAGACAAAATAAGCATTGATCAAGCCACTGGGTTCATACCAGCTTTCGCACCTGACCCAGTAGGAAAACCCTATATAATAAAAGGCTAATATGCAAATTGTCCCCTCGGGAGTTTGACCAACCTGGAGTTCAACTGCTCGCTATGATGTGAACTGACCACCAGGGGGCAGCGCAGAATGAAGGAAGGCCCTGGCCAGCATCTGGCAGCTGGGGGAAGGAAGGCCCCAATCAGCCCTTTGGGCTGATTGCCCACCAGGCCTAGGGACACTACCCATGTACCCGGCCTCTAGTATGAAAATAAAAGCAAGGTCCTTGAAATTATATTTTTAAAATTTTATCCTTTATTATTTATAATGTATTTATTATTCAAGCCACTTACCTAACAAATACGTAGTGATGGATGACTGTGTATGAGATAGTTTGCAAGGTGAGAGAGAGGACAGTGGTACAAGAGGAGGCCAAAGACCAGGTTGGAGCTTTGGGAAGCCTTGTAGGCTGAGCCAGGAGTTCTGTTTTCATTCAAAGAAGAAATGGGAAGCCAGTAAGAGATTTTACTCTGTGAAGTGATTCACTGGGAAATGCATTTGTTTTTTTAAGATCACTCTGCCTGCTGTGTGGAAAGGGGGCCAGAGGAGGAAGGACTGAGAGAGAGGAAATAATTAAGAGGCGAGGCTAAATTCCAGAAGAGACCTGGCTAGGTTGCTCTTTGCTTCTTTGATCATCTTGCATCTCTGATGTTTTGAGGCAAATGGAATAATTAAAAATTTAAAATACAGTCTTCTGTTAAAAGGAATGAAGATGGAAGAACGGGGAGGAGAAACTTAAAAACTTAAGGATTAATTTTGATGTTTTGCCTGTTTTAAGGTTCATATAACATTTAATGAATCCCAATATTCATGGTTGTTTTCTAAACTACTTCATTATGAGAAGAAAGATGTTCACGTATCCCACACATATATTTAAGTACCTGTTATATACAAGAAAGGACACAGTGTACTATTGATATAACTCAACCGCAGTTCCCCGTCATTCTGCTCCACAATGGAAGCAAGCAGTGGGCGAAGAGCTTTTATCCATCATCGTGTCTAATTTAATTCATCACTTTGTGGGTTAAATATGCTTTCTATCATATTTACAGATGCTTACTTACTAGTACAGGTGGAGAAACAAAGGCTCTAAGACAGGGGTCCTCAAACTATAGCCCGCGGGCCACATGCAAATACAAATATTGTATTTGTTCCTGTTTTGGTTTTTTTACTTCAAAATGAGATATGTGCAGTGTGCATAGGAATTTGTTCATAGTTTTTTTTTTTTAAACTATAGTCCGGCCCTCCAACGGTCTGAGGGACAGTGAACTGGCCCCCTGTTTAAAAAGTTTAAGGACCCCTGCTCTAAGGGATTTGTTCAAAATCATGCCACTAGTAAGTGGCAAAACCATTAATTAAACCCAGGCCCCTCCTACAAATTATTGATTTTAACTCCCACCTGTCATACTGTGATATCTGATACAACCTCACCTGTAAAATATCATGTTCTACATGTATAATATGTACATTGTTGGCACCAAGAAAAGAGAGAGCAAAGAAGGGGCAAGGAGGAGTCTACTGGTTTTTCCCCCCAAAAAACTTGTAGAACCATTTGATCCTTCAAAACATATGAATAAGTAGAACTAATATACTTTTTAAAAATAATCCCTTCCTACTATAGCATCAGACACCCATCATTAAAGGACAAATCTCAAGCCCCTTGCCCAAAATAGACTTCTTCTTGAATTACACCACCAGCAGGCAGGCATCCACTATCTTCTTTCTTGGCAGATCCCAGAATGATGGAAATATCTATCTATATAAAAGCCTCAGCGACAGAATGACTAAACAACTGAACTATTGATTGACCGGTTGCTATGATGCACACTGACCACCAGGAGGCAGATGCTCAGTGCAGGAGCTGCCCCCTGGTGGTCAGTGTGTTACCACAGCCAACCTCCCATGGCCAGCCAACCTCCTGCAGTCCCTCACCCCAGACTGAGCAAGACGGCCCCATTGGCTCCGATCTTTGGCCAGGCTGAGGGACTCCACCCAAGCACGAGTTCGTATACTGGGCCTCTGGTATGGAAATAAAGGTGTGAACAAGATGGATTCACTGAGTTGGAATGCATGTTTGAGAGGCATCTCATGTTCTTGCCCTTCACCTTTATTGCAAGTACTTCTCCAAGTCTCCAGACAAGCATTCAGCTAGAAACTTATGCAGATATGTAAGAGCTTAGTTCTTCAGGATTCTAAAGTGTGAATAGTAAATATAAATTTCCTTTTCCCCCTGTTCCACAATTTCCCCCAAATTTGGGGTGGGTGGTAAGGTTTTGTCCCTCCTCTATTTCATTGGCACTCAGTCTCTGACAAACAAACCAATGTCATCGAGGAAAGTAACTGGAGGGTTTTCTTGAGGAATCATCTCAATGGAGGCGGTTTGAAAGGATCTACTGAACCAAAAGCAGATCCACAAGAGGAGGCGGGGACTGAGAACAGACCCTGTGGCTCAGATATGAGCATGTGAGAGCTCCTAGTCTAGTTGCCTCTTCAAACCTTTTTGGAATAAAGCAGAATATCCATCTATCTATCTCTCTCTATCCATCCGTCTCCCACATAGACATATATATATCTTTCTCTATCCAGACATCTACACCCACATGCACATGTACATATACATACATGCATACACACATAGCACTCTGTCAGGCTACAGGTTGCATAGAAGACACTGGATAAAAGCGAGGTGCCCTGGCTGAAACCGGTTTGGCTCAGTGAATAGAGCGTCGGCCTGCGGACTGAAGGGTCCCAGGTTCGATTCCGGTCAAGGGCATGTACCTTGGTTGCGGGCACATCCCCAGTGGAGAGTGTGTAGGAGGCAGCTGGTCGCTGTTTCTCTCTCATCGATGTTTCTAGCTCTCTCTCTCTCTCCTTTCCTCTCTGTAAAAACTCAATAAAATATATTTAAAAAAAAAAAAAAAGCGAGGTGCCCTACCCTCGCTCACTGATCGGCTGCCTCCT